CTGATTCGCAAGTATAGGATTCTGGGGGTTTTGGAATAGGATTTTCGTCACTGTGAGGCACAGGTCTCATCGCAGATGGTATGTTTGGGTAGTTAATAACCGATTTTTTTTTCTTGGACATACCTGTGGCTTGTCCAAGACAAGGTACCATGCAAAAGTAACAATCATTAATATGATTTGTAGGCTCTCTCCAAACCATTGGGACAGCAAAGCGCATAGACCGTTTTTTTGCCATCTAACCAGCTCCTCAGACTTGAAGCACATGTATTACAGCAGATGTGGGGTACCCACTGTTTGTCTTGATCACCTAGTTTACAACCGAAGTAAAGCTGATATGCCTTTGTTATTAGTGGAGTAATAGACCGTCTCTGAGACGCAAAAGTCACATCACCACACACGTAACAAAACTGATCTGGATTGTTTACACACTTTCGAGATATCTTGCATGAACGCTGTCAGCCAACTGAGGAAAAAATGGCTAATATAAAACAATATAATGTACACGTATGTATAACGTAACACAATCATGCCGATTACATCATCTTTCCTTGCCGAATATAAAAATGTAGCACGTGCATTCTTGTGAATTACAGTATATTAACACTGTCACAGCAGGAACACATATAATTACCGTATCCCTAAAACTTGAACTAATATCGAATAAATAAGTTTCATTCCGGTCTTAGCACATTAAAAATAGTAATATTTGTAAGTAAGATTTTATTGATTTTATTTAGGATAATTTTTGGCTGTTGATCAGTGTTATCTAAGAAACGCAAAAAGCTTTTAGATTGAAACATATCTGTGATTTGCATGTTCGTAGGACCACATTGTCTGGCCGTATAAAACCACAGAGGATACAGGGGTGATTAAAAATATATGTGGTTTGATTTGGAGTTTATAAAAACACTCGCTGAATGCAAAACGTTTATTCCGTAGTAACAAAAACTACGAAAAATTGCATATTGGACAAATTTTTTTTCAGTACTAACCTGTCGCCATTATTGATCGGAATGTCCCACTGAGAAGAAGTTCTTTTCTCCCTATTATGTAATGCTGATTCATGCCACTTTAAGAACTTTATATTACGAAATATTTGAAAACAAGTGAGAGATAGTTAATATTTAGTATTGCTCGTAATGTATCTACGCTACTTGCATATATCAATAATCGGGAAGCTATTAGAAAACAGAATCAAAACAACTGATAGACGTTAGCACCTCTGATTCATATTGCATTGTCAGTTTGACGCCAGACTTCCAGGTTTTTCAAACTATTTATAAAATCGAAAGAAACAGCATGCAATGAAAAAATACTTAATTCTTATAAAATCTAATGGAGCGACATACAATAGTGTTAGTAGTGATAATGTATAGAATACATAACTGGTTTGTTCTCACATCATGTACCGCTGGGCGCTACAACTGCTAAACCAATAATGGCTTACTTTTCAACTTAAGTATGTAACGTAACATAACTTTTAGCTGAAACAGAACTGCATTAGCTTTTCTGAAAATGTTTGTATTCAAGTAGCACTTGAATCACCTTGAGTAGACGGTCTGATATTAATATGAGCTTTGATCTTCGTATCCAAAATAAACTAACACTAACTCATCAGCTGTCAAAACAACATTCGGCATTTAATGGCAATCGGAAGATGTGGTGTGTCCAGAAAGTTGAGCAAACATTTTTTATGACGCCATATACCGCAGCTACCGGAGTATCCAAGTTCACAACCAAATCATACGGCAAGGGACAGTGGACCGTAAACCTAAGAGAACAAAACATATTCGCTCTTTGTAGGTAGATACACATGGAAGTGTGTGTAATGTATACTAAGTGACATATAAATCCGAACACCCAGTTTAAATGGTTTTATTTTAATAAAAATTGGTGAATGTATTTATCTTACTGTAAATAACAAGTGAAAAAATTTTCAGCCTTATCAGTTGGACATTCCGGTTTTTATACTGCTTTTTTTTAATTCACTAACGCTCTAAAAATGAATATTTCAGCCGCAGTAAAGAATCAAAGTTGGCGGATTTTGGTTCTTGACATCCTTTACGATCGGTTACGATGCCTAGAGTACGGAGACCTGTACGATTTCGTCAACTTAGTGAGTTTGATAGGGGCCGTATAGTGGGACTTCGGGAAGCTGGACCTTCTTTTCGGGCAATTGCAGTTAGAATGCAAAGAAGTGTAGACACTGTGGTTAGGTGTTGTCAGGCATGGCTTCGAGAAGGCCGTACGCAAAGAGCAAGGGGCACTGGACGCCGCCGTAGAACAACAGACCGTGAAGATCGCCGCCTAAGATTATTGGCCTTAAGGGACCGTTTCTCCACTACCAGGTCCATTGCAAATGAATGGTTTGCAGAACACGGAAGACCTATTGGCATGCGAAGTGTTTACCGACGAATGAGAAGTTTTGGCTTGTTTTCATACCGGCCACACTGGGTCCTCCCTTTAACTCGAGAACACCAACGTAATCGCCTTGAGTGGTGCAGACAACGGTCACTCTGGGATCAGGAATGGAACAGTATTGTCTTTAGTGACGAGTCCCGATTTTGTTTTGGCATGCACGATGGTCGTGCCAGGGTTAGAAGGCGACGTGGTGAAAGGAGGAATCCACAGTTTTTTGTTGAAAGACATGTGCATCACACTGTTGGAGTTATGGTTTGGGGTGCTATAGCTTATGGTTCCAGGTCACCTTTAATCTTTATCAGAGGTAACATGAACGCGCAGCGTTATATCCACGAAGTTCTAGAACCCCATCTTTTACAATATCTTGACAGCCTGCCAGATCCAACTTTCCAACAAGATAATGCCCGACCACATGTTGCAAGAGTCACAATAGACTTCTTCCAACATAATGATGTCACATTGTTACCATGGCCACCAAGATATCAGGACTTATCCCCAGTTGAGCACGTGTGGGATATGATGGGTAGGAGATTGCTCAATTTGCAACGTCCTCCTCAGACTCTAGAAGCACTTCGAGAGGAGTTGGTGGTTGCCTGAAATGAGACACCACAGGAGGACATTGACCACCTGATCAGAAGCATGCCTAGGCGAGTTGGAGAATTCGTAGCACATCAGGGTGCATCCACAGATTATTAAAGGTCAAAGGGGTTTAAAGCAGTGCAATCATTTTGAAATTTTTATCATTCACTTATTATGCTTCATTAAGTACTTATACAAATTTTATTAAAATAAAACCATTTAAACTGGGTGTTCGGATTTATATGTCACTTAGTATATATGTTTCCGATGAAAATAACCTGTCTGATATTATTCAATGGACACACATTTTATCACATAGTTTTTTTTCGAAATTGCAATTATCAAGGTCATCAATTATACTTAAATGTAATTAACAGTGGATACGTCACTTATATAGTATACAAATAAACATAGAGTGCGGAGGAATGTTAGAGATACTGAACAAAAAGCTGTATGAAATCATTAGCCTGATATAAAATGTGCAAGTCAATTAGTGCTTAAAGGTGTGTCTGGTAGCACATTGATTTTTTGTCTCGTGTTCAGCAGAATGTATCTTGTCGCCAGCACTTTTATCAAATAGTTTATGTTTTCAATCTATGAGTGCGAATGATATCGGTGGCAGTCCAGTTCCTTAAATTTGAAAAAGTATTTGTTCGAAAACCCTAACTGGCGCTGTTTCTGGGTTTATGATTCTTTTAAATTATTATGAGTTACGTTGTTCCACATTCTCGACATGTTCTAGACACAAAGTAGTGAACAGTTGTGCTATTTCAATTGACAAATACGACTTATAGGCTTACGAACTGGTGTCATCGTAAAGAGAGGCTAGAAAAACAGTTCGTTGATGTTCATAAGAGAAACGTAGAAGGCCAAGAACCCGTTGATATGGTAAAGGTTACTGCTCAAGGAGATGCCATTAAAAATCTCATAATTATACCGTTAACCAAATTATTTATTACTATTATCTTTATAAATATATTTCCCACATATTTTCAAATAAATGCATTTTTTGAATGAAAGAAGCTATATATAAATTCTCAGTTGGACTTGAGATGTCATAGGTTAACAACAACATCTATTGATGCTTCTATAGATTTCGCTAACTACACCTTGGACAATGGTTCATACTGTATGGTGAGATTTTTTGATCTGACAAAAGCTTTTAAGTGTGTTTAGAATGAAATTCGGCTGAAAAAACTTTTATTCTACAATTTCTATACCGGTAGAATATAGCTCCTCTCACCAGATTTGTGCAGAAGACAACAACTTGTGTATTTTCACAGTTCACTCCATTCACAACTACCAGAAAACAGTGGAGTCCCACAGGGCTCAATTGCTGGCCCATCTCTTTTGCCTAACAGTCTATTACAACGACTAACTTGGTATTATATGCTGACGTCACAACAATGATTGATTAGTCATACATCTCAGATCAAAGCATGACAAGTAAACTGAAAATCCGGTTTATATGAAATAAACTAACACTCAATGGTAATAAGTGACAGTCTTTAGTTATCACTTTGCGAAAACATAAAATTGAATCAGCTGAATCGAATAAATACCTAGGAATGCTTATTGAAGCAACTATGATCTGGAAGACACATGTTGAATATTTTCAAAAAGAAACAGTGTTTCCACTCATGTCTTGTTGACATCGTATTACGGGTTTTTCCATTTTAAGAAAGAGAGTTCTCATCAGTGGCTTTTCATAATTCCAGTAAAATACCGTCATTAGGTATATTTTATGACTTCTGCAAATACTTGAGAAGTAAATAAAGAATTGATTGGATTGAGTTGTATTGCCTTCCTCTGAACTTCAAGTATGAATACAAGCGTCGAGGCAGCGACTCTCAAAAATAAATATGTATGTGGAAGCTTTGTATTGCCGATTTATTCATTAGAGTTTGCTTACTGCTACGAAATATTGAATCAGTACTTCTCAACACAAGCCAATCATCTTGTTGACTAAGTATTAGAGAAATAATAAACAATTTGAATCTGCACAGCTAATAGCTTCCGTCTAAACAATAATTTTGTCACTTCTCAGAATTCCATTACTGTTGACTTTATAGGTACATACATGACTTGACCTGCAACAGCGTATTACATTGTGGATGATCAGTAGGATTATTTATGTTACACGTCGTAGAGAGAGTAGAAGAGTCCTGAAAGTAAAGCTAGTTACTAAATGACTGAGGGAATCTCTTCTGGCATTTTACTTCTAGCATTTAGTTAATGATGTTATGATTTTTATAAGTCCTATACTTGATGCGGATCTGCGTGGACAACTTCTAATCTTCAAAAAATCAGAGAATTATTCAACGTGTCTTCGCCCAGATCACAGATGTCAAAATATAAGTGTCAAAGTGACTGTCTTTGTGTTGCCAACTATTTTATAAATATCCTATCAATTACCATAAGCGTCCGCACGAATTTTTGACGAGGACGTAACTATGCGGTCCGGAACAAAGCAAAAACTACTGCGACAGATGATATTGCGGGAAGGTATGAGCTCCCAAAACTTTCTGGCATGCGGGGCATTACGACTTAGAAAAATCTGTGCCCTCACTTGTTAGTTACATGCTAGATTAAATAATAGTAGCTTATTCCTGATGAGACACACATGTTTTTTCGCTTTTTTACCTCATTCTACGAATGCGTCAGATTGACAGTGACGGAAAACACATCAAACCCAGTGTACCCGATTTCTGACACGATTTTGTTTCTGGCAGTACCTTGTGTCCAAATAAAAAAAGCATCGAAGCCTTCCATGTAACAAATGATATTTTGCTCAATCGGGAAAGAGTTGGAAAGGTCAGCTTGAAAGGGGAATAATTTGTCAGATCAGGCGAGGGAAGTAACAAATATAAGATGGCTTTGTATTTTACACATCCGCTGAAGATACCATCATATTATAACGCTTGAGCATAGTTATTTAACTAATATTCCATTGACTGCCCTTGATATCAAACACAAAGCGGCTCAAATTGTGCATGGAAACGAAAGTAATTCTCGGCGATGGAGCGTGTCAACGGCGCACAATGCGGACGAATTACGAAATGGCGATCCCACAGTGTACGGACTGGTCTGATGGATCGTATCGGAACTCCGTGAAGCCAAAAAGCATAACGGCGCCGGCGCCAGACTAGCTAGAGGTACGACCGATGTGAGAAATTGTGTGAAAGATCACATAGAATTCTGCAGATATGATCAGAAACGCCTTGCGTATTGAACCTTTCAGTATAGTCATAGGCGATTTCGTGGGTATTTTCCAGCAGGAATTTGGGCTCTTCTAGACTTATTTAGAAGCTGAATCAGATATTGTAGACAATGCAATTAATTCGTGCTAGATTAGCTGAACCTAAAATTGCAAACAGATACAGGCCGAACTGTATCTGTCTGCTTGTGTTCTCTGTGACTGTATGATACACCCTGTATTGTACGGCTACAGATGAAAAGACGTTCCCCTAGAAATCAAGGTTGACGTGCCTGAGGGTTTCTCACAAAATATACCGGGAGAGTTACAAATGGGACCTTTTCGTCGGGTAAACATCCCCGATAGCATTAAATATTTTTAAAAAATGTTGGTTAAATATTTGTAGCCACAGATTTTTTAATATATAATACATATATTTCTTATATATTTATAAAATATTCGTTATAGATGTTTGTAGTATATATAATTCATACATTTTTGCGATATTTTTTTAAAATGTTTAGAAAATATATATTGTTTAAATAGGTATCAATTTTATATATTGATGAAATATCTAATATTCTTCATTGGTTGCTTTAGCAAAACCTGTAGGAATGCTGATATAAAATTGGGTTTATAAAGAAAATTCATTCTAGATACAATAATTTAATTTGCTAGAAAAATATTATTAAAAAAACATCCTAAGCCTCTTCTGCGTCTTGCAAGTCCACTCCTTTGGAAAAAACAAACTTACTAATTATGAAGTATTAAGGAATACATAAGCTGCTTTCCAGTGTATTTATTGGTGCCGAGCATGGTGAGTCACTCCGAGTAGCTCAAGTGGGTCACTGAAAAGCAGCTCTATAATGCACCTAAAAGGACCTAACATGATATGCCTATGATAGTTCGAAATTTGATTAATTTATGAGTGATTTTATATTATAATTCAAGGGACAAAAGTATAGTATTTTCAACTGTTAAAATTTTTGAACGTACTACGACAAAAATAATAATAATAATAATAATAATTGAGATATTTAAAAATAGCATTTTTGATGTATCTCGATCAAGTTGCGATTATATGTCGTTTCGTTGAATGTTATGAACATAGTTTTAGTATCCATTCTCAGATAAATCCAGCAATACCAAATAAATGTTACACTTCAAGGCTAGTTATTTATGGTCTTATGAATACCTTTATGCTCAGCTGGCCCAATAATGTTTACTAGGCAGATAAATTAAGCTATGTTTTTATCGAAAAACTTACACTTGTCCCTTTTCCACAAAAAAAGAAACTTAAATAATGAACCACTTGGAGGTACACAGGAAGCACGCTATTATAGTGAAAGTCACAGGTTAAATGGCTGCCGGCAAACGGGTCGCCTAAGGCCGACTATTATCCCATTGGTCGCTCGAGGTCACATGCACATGCGCGGTAGCCGAAAATATTTAATGAATATTTTCTAAATATTGGAGATTTAATATTTTCCATTGACTGAAAAGTAAATATTTAATGAGTATTATGAAAGAAGTAATACTGTATTTAAAATATTTAAAAGATATTAAATAAATATTTAATAAAAATATTATATTACAAATATTTATTAAATATTTGTTTAAGAAAACGAATATTTAAGAAAGATAACAGTATTATTAAATATTAAATAAATATTCAATGAATATTTCGTGCTATCGAGGCTGTATAGTAAATAGAGAAGCAGCTATGAGAAATTGTCATAGATGACGCTACGGTATCTCACTTTATCTCGGATAATGCTTAGGATGCTTCAGGTAGAATATTTTAATCATGACTTTGACCATTGGCAGGATCGTATCCGATGAGGTTTATCCGGTGGCGATTATAGCTAGTTGAAAACTTTAGCCAATGACTGAATATGAACACTAAAAGGAACTCTTACTCTTTGCTTTGAGGATCACCCGCCAGTTAAAAAAAATAACATTATTTTGGTACGCAGCATTCATATTGAAACCCGAAAAGCAGTTAACTGTATAATAAACTCGTTTCGGTTATCGTGGGCCTCCTACAGAGCTTCTACAAAATTTCCGGCATTTTAAATTGGAAACTGTTAATGAAACTGCAAGTGTGATAAACAATTACTTAACTAGCGAAAACTCACTTTCTACAATCTATATCGTGTTAGGATGTGTTGCAACTTATTCTCGTTAGTAACTCTCTTTCGGAAGGGTATCAATCACTTGATGAAGACAGTTAGATACATTGTGTTTTCAGATTGTTTTTGGACGCAACAGGAATAATTTCTCGTAATCAATTTTATCTGAAATAGAGTTTTAAATAATGGCACCATCCATCATAGAAACAACCATGTTGTCCATGGTCCTAATATTCACTTGCGCTAACTTTGCTGCTGTAAAAGTTAAAGTAGACACAAAGAAAACCAAGAGGGATTTTTCGAACATGTTCGAACATAAAATAAAGTATGTTTTAAAAAAATAATTATTGCGACTGAACGAATACAGTATTCGTCATGTTGCAAGATAAGGTATTCTCTAGAGACACACATAGTTGCGAGGCACTCTAAATATACCTAGAAATAGGACAACACAAAGTGCCATCTATCATCAGAAGCAAGCTGTATGCTGGAACTGTGCCCCAGTTTGCATTTTACTGCTGGATCACCACCGTGGCCGCAAGATGCCACCGATTCTGGCGGAATAGCCAATACGGTCTACTCGCTGTTGAACAAACTAGCAATATAGCTTTAGTCCTTTCGGCCATAGATAGCCAACCATGGACAGCTGTTTCGTGCTTTTTGGCAACTCATCAGCATGCTTTAGGCTTTTCCTCCTGGACAACGAAAAAAAGGATACGTGCTTAGTCTTTTCAAATTGACCACAGTGCATAATACAGGGTGTCCGCAAAGTTGGGGTTGTCCTTTTCAGAAACAACTACCCTTGAAATAACAAAGGTAATGTGTAGTGAAACCAGGGCGACCAAGTAAAAAAAAATAAAGGAAAAAGTACTCACTCTCCAGTTGACGAGAAGGGCTAAGTACGTCTCTGCCCGAAATCATACCGCTCCAACATAAAATGAAATCAGCTGATGCGCTACCGAGCAGACGCAGGCGGTGGTGCAGACCATGAACAGAGGTAACAAATATGACGGCGTTGCCGCGTTTTCAGTTTTTAGGTGAACGTACTTTATAGGTATTGTTCGAAGTTATCGCCGTTTGATTCAAAAATACAGGTGCGTGCACGGCGTAGCCAAGCATCGGTGCAGGCTTTGAGAATGGAGTCCCTCCCCCGAATGAAAGCACCAGCTTGTTCAATTCTGAGACGAATTTCGTCAACCGTATGCACCTCAGTTTTGTACACTAAGCGTTTCATTTCTCCCCAAAGAAAAAAATCACATGGTGGTAAGTCTGGAGATCGCGGAGGCCACGCTACGGGTCCATTACGTCCGATCCACCTATTCGGAAATAATTCATTCAAAAACTCACGCACTTCGCGTCTAAAATGGGGCGGTGCACCATCGTGCAGAAACATAAATTGTCTTACACTTAATGGCACATCTTCTAACAAGGAAGGCAAAATGTTGCGTATAAAGTCTAGGTATTGCATCCCGTCCAATCGATTTGGGAGAATAAATGGTCCAGTGAGCATACCGTTCACCATGCCAGCCCAAACATTCACCGAAAATGTTTGTTGAAAATGTGCCCGACGGACAGCGTGCGGATTTTCTACTGACCAAACATGAGTGTTGCGAAAGTTATTCACCCCATTACGCGTGAACGTAGATTCGTCTGTCACCAATATGCACTTCAAAAATTCCGGATTATTGTCATGTTGATGCAACAACCACTCACAAAACCGCACTCTTGCTGGAAAATCGTCAGGTTGAAGGGCTTGTACACATTGGACGTGAAACGGATACAGCCCCTCTTCACGCAGCGTTTGCCACACTATAGTTTTTGATACTTGCACTTCTCTAGCCACGTCTCTAGTGCTTGTTGAGGGATTCTCGTCTACGCGATTCAGTAGTTCTTCCTCAACTTTTTCCAAGACCTTTGTGTTCTAAACTCCAACGAAAACTAACACGAAATCAACGTCTCTTTGGTAGAACTCAGTCATCCATGGGACCAGAGGAGCATGTCCCCAAGCAGTAATAATCTCTAGACATCTCGTCGGAGAGGAAGTCAGCGCTAGTCTTCTTTTCTCTCGCTCTCCGGCAAATATTGGTTCGTCAGTTTGTATCCCTGCATGTATAGTTCTGTCATCAGCAAATATGTGGATCGGATTGATCGCACAGGAATGCAGATCATTAATATCTAAGAGGAACAATATCGGATCCAAGACCGATCCCTAGGGAACCTCTGCATTGAAATTGTGGGATTCAACAGCTACGATGGATATCCCGCAGCCAGAGTGGAAGTCAGCCACCCATATGCAAAGCTTCCCCGGGAAGCTATAGGGTGGAAGTTTGCATAAGAGGGCAGCACTCCACAGCTGATCGAACGCTGACGTGGTATCAATAGCAACGACACGAGTCTCACGACATAACTGTATGAGTTTAATCGACAGTTGCGTGACGTAAGTTAGGGCCCCCGTGGATCGTTAGTTCAAGTATCCAGTTAAAAGTTTTTTCATCCATGTAGATCCAAACATATGGTGTGGTATCATAAAGACAAATGAGTCTGTGTCAAACTGCCAACCGTCATACCATTAGATTCTTTCACGTTTTATCATGGACCTCCAACAGAGTCGCTGCCGAATTTCCGGTGACCCAAAGCCGAGAGATGTTAATGAAAATGCAATCGTATTAATTAACATGGCTAGAGAAATTGTTCTCTACCGAATGCGTATGTTGCGACTTGCTAATAGGGTCATACACGCATTCAAGCCTCATTCAGTGACCCTGATTCACGCACACACAGTGATACAGAGGCGTAACTAGCTGATACTGAGGAAATACAGTTTGTGAGAAGGATGACCGTAAAAAAGCTGAAACTTGACGATCTTTGAGATTGATGAAAACCTGCAGGCTACACATTCTTCTGGGGTTTGTCATTTGGCCCCGTTCGCCGCAGTCCACCAATAACATACGAGCCCCTTCCCACTTCAGTTGGCCCACTTCAAGATTTGTACCAAAATATGCCTTTATAAACTAAATATGACGAAACTATTTACTTCTAAAACAATTTATTTTATCAAAAACATTTTAGATACACTCTAGTCGAAAAAAATACATATTTGAAATCACTTAGACCTATAACTAATAGAACATCTGAACAAATATACAATGTGCGAATAAATGCGCGAAGTTAACAAAGCAACAATTGAAAGATTACCATTGGGTAACATCACCTTTATTTTTTATTACGGTTGAAATTCTTTGGGGCATAGTGGTAAGCAAGTTTTGGCAAAAGTTTGGTGTAAAACAATCCCATATTTCTTGAAGCTTTTGTCTCAGTTCGGTGATTGTACGAGCAGGATGTTGTCGTAGAACCTTTTTCATCTCCTGCCACAAAGTTTCAATAGGTGACAGATCTGGACTGCTACAAACCCATTTCAAAAGTGGTACATAATTTCCTTAGTTAATTGTATAGCCTTTTTTGAGGTATGGCACGCTGCACCATCTTGCTGAAACACAAAATCTTGACCGGATGTCAAACGTTCTTCCATCACTGGTAAAAGCGATTCTACTAAAATTGCCAAATATTTGTTTGTATCCACATTTCCATGAATAAAATGAAGTTTTCCTACTCATTTTGATGACGTACTGCCCAGACCATAATTTCACTTTTCTCTTCAGACAGTCAACATGGAATGCTTAATTTTTTTTGCGAATAACTACTGTGACTGTCACCAACACAAACTTCGAATCGGGCCTCATCACTCCATTGTATTGCACACCATTGTTGAGGTGTCCATTGTCTATGTTCTTTAGCCCATCTAAGCCGATTTTTCTTTTGCAGTGAAGTTAATAGTGGCTTTTGTTTGGCCTATAAGCAAGTTGTGCAACTTTAGGGCTTCTACTTCACTTTTTTTACAAGAAAACTTACCTTGCAAGTGCTAAATCCCAGTTTGTGGGCCTCTCTATGAGTTGTGGACCTCGAAATTCTCCTTCCAACAGCGTCATTCCACAGAGCACTTAATTGTAAATAATTTTCACGCCTGTTTTTCATGATTATTCTTCTTAATGCTCTTCGGTCGGCATTTGTGATATTACTTTTTTTCACATATCGTGGCTTAATATTAACTGAACCAGTTACGTTATATCTTCTAACAATATTTCTCACACTGTACCGCGATAAGTCTAACAAAGTTGCAATTTCTGAGTTTGATTTCCCAGTAACCGAATTTTCTCAATAATAACCTTTCCTCTACCCAATTTGGAAAACCTTAACTACCCAAAACTATTTTAAACGTATTCTGACAGCTGTGATTAATAAAAACAATTGTCATGGCTTTTATTTTTCACAGCCTCCTATGCGTTATAGACTCATTTTGCATTGAAATGAAAATAGGTTGATATGCTGTAATTGCAACATGCAACAATGCAAATTTGATTAGGGAGTAATAAAGTTGGTGTTTTCTACTATATATTATCAAAATATTCATTGTTAATATGTTAAACCTATAACACCCTGCTACATTTTTGTTATTTGTGTTTGATAAGAAAAAAACTAAGGTTTCAATAGTTGGGCCAACTGAAGTGGGAAGGGGCTCGTATGTTACTGCATCGTAATTTAAAATTGAAACATTCTTTGATTGATTCTCACCCCCACCACTTTTATTGAAACAAATAGTGAATAAAGTTTGTGGAAACTAAAAGTAACTCTGTAAAATACTGGTAAAGGAAGATCTACGCATGCTGTGTCCCTCTGGGAAGTCTGAAAATTCAATCCAATTCAATCCTACAGGCTCTTCTATATAAATAGTATGCATTCTTGAAAGTACCCTAAATATCATAAAAACAATTTAATTAAATAAATTTATAGAATCTACAACAGGCCACTAATTAAGTAAGTTCCCCATTGTTCCCCGTGGTTTAAAATGCACCTTCCAACGGCGCCGATCTATCCATGTGTTGTACATTTGGTGAAAGAGTGTTGTAAACTTCTTTTGATGGATTTTAGATCCTCAAAAATTGCTAGTACAACTATGAAGTCATCTAAAAGACGAAGCTGAAGGTTGTAAATAGTTCAAAATTAGTCATTCGATATTGCCATTAGTTTTCTTGGAACTCTCCATATTTTGTATACCCTCAGTCTCGAAATTCGTATTTTACTGGAGTTTACCTGAGCAACACGATGGAAAGATAGAAGTATTGAAATGATTTTACCATCTTTTTACATAGTGTCTTACTAAATTTTTGTGAAGCATGTGTATCACTAGAAAATATGTGTAGTGTGATTTCTAGTCCAAGATGATATCCCTCGCTGTTTCTTAAATTAGTCAGTTCTTTGTGTCACGTGCCAAAATCATGAAAACCCTTTGTTAATATATTGATCACTTACTAGTAATTTGATTTTCTCTTCATTAACGGTAGAGTGTCCATTCCTAGACCAAACCATTTTCAATGATTTTCTTTTGGTGAATGTCATAGTTTATTGATTCTATAGCTTCACACGAATTATATCCTCCTTTCTAAGTGATTCAGTGTTATGGTGAAAGAAAAAATTCTGTAGCTTTTCTCCACAATCTCAGAAGAAAAGTGACTGATACGAAACACCCAACAAAGGAAGATTCAATGAGTGGCCTTGAAGAAGTAACGCAGAAAAGCCAGAGTTTTTTTTCCAACACAATCCTGAATCGTTGAGAAAGAAAGAGTACGTGTGCAATCATACAATCCATAAACTATGACATTTACCAAAAGAAAATCGTTGAAAAGTGTTTGGCCTAGGAATGGGCACTCTACCATTGATAAAGAGAAACTCAAATTACTAGTAAGTGATCGAAATAGTAAAAAAAAGGTTACGTGATTTTGGCACGTGACAATTGTTCCTTTTAGAAGGAAGAACCTCCAAGAGGATGTAAAATTTTATGCAGTCTATAAGTTATTCTGCGTAACAAGCATGTTTGCCAATCGCCAACCTTCCTGGTACCCAGTTCTTTGGGCTCAGTACATAATATATCTGTATCAAGTGCATTTGAGTAGGAATATTGATAATACAGTTTCTTTTTCAAACCATGGGGTAGATAAAGCTTGAACAAGGTTGGTTGGGAAAAAAGTACTGTGGTAACCGATATTTATTTATTTATTTATTTACTCATGTTTGGGGTGCAACAGAATGTGAATTACAAAGACAGCACCCGCTGCTTACTATAGTGATAAATTAAAAAGATACATAGATTACAAAATCCAGAAGATATGAAAATCTGTAACACAAGCCTACTATATGAGAATAAACAATACTATGATATAGCAACTACTATAAAACGATATAAATTTAAAATTTTATTTTTGTAAAAATTAGCATGTATCAGTTACACTATTCCATGAATCGCACCAGTCACCAAACAACACAAACACAGAGCACGTTACTAGACAGCTTTGATAATAAAACATACGAGTATAAAATACTATATAAAAGTATATAAAAGTATTAATGGTTGACAACAGTATCACAGCAAACAAACAATTAGGCAGTATGATACTATTCTATGTAAGCTGCCTCCTTACGGTTGCTTTAAACTTGTTAAAATTAACCACAAAAATGTCCAAATTTATAGAGGCATCGTTAAACACCCTTTTTTGGAAAATATTCTCATTGATCCGTAATTTACTATGAAAGTAGGTATGACTAGCTATGTCGTGAGGAGGCAAGTACCACAGTAAATGAAAACAGTTTCACTATTCTTAGGACCAACTGATATCCACACATGCTTGGCATCAGATTCTAGTTGCTGACATCTTCTTGATTCCAGGGTCTTTTTTACGGCGATCAGTACACCGCCACCATCTTTTTTATTGGAACTGGTTGTTTCTTGATCTCTTCTATAAAGATTATAGCTATCAGTGAATAGCTCATTGTTGAATACACCTGATTTTAACCATGTCTCAGTCAGACAAATTACTTCATAATCAGCTGCGAGCATATTATTGTGGAAAATTGTTGTTTTGGACCGAAGGCCTCTCACATTTTGATAATATATGCTCAGTTTTATACTTTTATCCATTAAAAACAGGGACTATTATCTAGATGACATAACCTAAATGTTTATTTGATATTTTTAGTTGCTTCAGCACCACTAATGTGAATAGTCTTGGAGGTATCATCTTTTCTGACAAATATCTGTCCACCTTTGGTCCATACGAATTTATACTTTTTATTTTTAGCAACTGTTCTTGCTTCTTTGAAGAGTATCTTGTTTGCCAAAGAAAGATGCTCATTAACATAGACAGTCACAGAAACCTGTAATGTTCATTCTAGGTGAACCATTCTCGCGCTCACTTCTTTTGATTTTGGCAGATGCTAGTAGGTTTTCTTTCACTGTCCTGGTGGTGAAGCGTATATGCAAAGACAGCCACGAAATGAGCTTTAAGAGTTATGTATACTGAGAAGAAAATCTGGCTATTTTTTACCCGACTGTCTCATCCGGAGGGTTATGTTTTTTACGCGTTAGTATGATGTATTTATTTATCCAATATATTCTATCTTACGGACTACAGGCCAAATGACTTGGTGGATTTTGATAAATGACGTTATAGAAACAGATGGCGGATTCTAATTAAGAAAATCAACCTAGATATTACAATTTCACAGGCTACATCAAAACGGCTTGGCGCATTTTAACATGTAGGGTGCGACTGACAATGGATATATTTAATTTTTTTTTAAATAAAATAGGGGATTTTAAATAAAAAAAATTACTAATTCACAGGATGCAGTTTAAACAGCTTGCTGGATTTTTACATGTGAGGTGTTGTCGGATTCATCTTAGCAGTGCCACTCTGGCTATATTAAAATCTTATGGTGGATTTCAGTAGAAAAATTCTACCATGAAATTCATATCTCACGGACTACACCTTCGACGGCTTGATACATTTTGACATGATATGCGAGTTAGACTTGTTGTGCTAAGATTTTATAAAGTCTGAGTGGCCGATTGTGAAACATAAACATTTAATCTTATTGGCTACATCCCAACCAGCTTCATGAATTTTGATATTTTATGTAACCTCAAATTTGTCTTGATAGCATTCTGTTCAGTTATTAAAATCGATCTTTTCTCAAAAATATACTTGTATGAGTTCGCTCAAGTCCTTTTTGGTCAGATGTGGACCAGAAAGGACCAGTAGATTTTTTCATAAATATTCATCCACAGATGTACCAGTTTAAGTTGAAGATATTTCGTACAACTCTTTTCCCACTGATTTTTATAAAGTCAAAAAATGTCCAAAAGAGGCTAACATCCGCCACTGTTAAAGATCTGCCATGCACTTGAACACGTATCATAAACGTTCAAAATTACACCTTGCGCGTCCCAAGTGACGCGTTTGAGAAGTCGAAGCCATTTACAAATTGTATAATAAGAAGTCGTAAGGCAAAACACTGACCAGGATGCATTATTCATGGGACTGGGCGTCCCATAAATTTCGGTTCAATGAATGAGACTGACCAGATACGCGGTGGCACAATAACAACCATAGAGGGAAATTGAATGGATCTTTCTTTTTATTCTGAAGTGTCTATCAGTAAACGGCAATGTTTACATTCAGCGCCATTTTAGAGCCAACCGATTCAAGATATCACAGATCGGTATCCTACAGAAATAAAGAGCACTTTGCAAATCAGGTTCTTGATTTGTGTATTGATTCAGAGGACAATAGTTATATTTTAGTACTAACTACGCAAAGTGGTTAAAATTTTGCCATATAATAATTTTCTTGAGAAGCAAAGTGTTTGGAACATACTGGTCAAACCTCGGTCAATGAATGTGTGAAATATTAAACTATTTTCTCAGGTTGAGACTGTGTGTGTTTTACGAAAAGTTTATCAGGTTTGTCTGACTCTGACATCTGTCGGACGATTATCTGGCCATAGTCAGCCAACCTTAGCGCTTGGCCTTGATGACGATATAAAGTTTCCATGTACCTCACCATAGCTTTCCCCTTGACAATTGCGAGATAATTTTGATTTACATCATTTCTTGTTTTTTGAGTGCTCAGCCCCAATCTACGGTTTCTTAACAAAATTGCATACCTAATACATCACTGGAGAATGCAAAATATTGGGATCAAACGATACTGAAAATGGCTAACCGAATCATTCATTTCAAGTGTTCTTAGGAAATGTCATGTTTTAAATGGTAATTTTACCCAAAACTGGAAACTAACATACCTGTAAAAAGCTGCTGAACGTTTGTGGTGGTATGTTAACCAGCATCTCTAACTATATGAGGTTCTATTTGAGCTCCTTATAATGTAAGGTACTTCGGTTTGACGAAAACATCGCATATTGTAGGTTACAGTGTAATTTTCTTAATGAAATTACCCGATTCTTAACGTTTGTGATTTTGAGTACCAAACTACGCAGTTTCAAGGAAATTTTGTGTTCCATTCAAGTGGGTTTCTGCGAGTGCTTGAATCAACTGACCTCCCACAAACTACTTGATTATATCGGGTAAGGTGATAAACACCGATAATTTCCGGCGCGCGTTTAAATTACACAATACCACCTTAAAATACATGTATGTACTGAATGTTGATAAGGAATTGTTTGTTATCAGCCGAAATAGCTCAGTTGGGAGAGCGTTAGACTGAAGATCTAAAGGTCCCTGGTTCGATCCCGGGTTTCGGCAAACTATTTTATTTTGATTTTTTCAAGTTATAGAAGAGCTCAACTGATTTCAATATAATACGTGTCCATGACTGAAATATACTAAGTGACATATAAATCCGAACACCCAGTTTAAATGGTTTTATTTTAATAAAAGTTGTAAATAACAAGTGAAAAAATTTTCAGCCTTATCAGTTGGACATTCCGGTTTTTATACTGCTTTTTTTTTAATTCACTAACGCTCTAAAAATGAATATTTCAGCCGCATTAAAGAATCAACGTTGGCGGATTTTGGTTCTTGACATCCTTTACGATCGGTTACGATGCCTAGAGTACGGAGACCTGTACGATTTCGTCAACTTAGTGAGTTTGATAGGGGCCGTATAGTGGGACTTCGGGAAGCTGGACTTTCTTTTCGGGCAATTGCAGTTCGAGTGCACTGTGGTTAGATGTTGTCAGGCATGGCTTCGAGAAGGCCGTACGCAAAGAGCAAGGGGCACTGGACGCCGCCGTAGAACAACAGACCGTGAAGATCGCCGCCTAAGATTATTGGCCTTAAGGGACCGTTTCTCCACTACCAGGTCCATTACAAATGAATGGTTTGCAGAACACGGAAGACCTATTGGCATGCGAAGTGTTTACCGACGAATGAGAAGTTTTGGCTTGTTTTCATATCGGCCACACTGGGTCCTCACTTTAACTCGAGAACACCGACGTAATCGCCTTGAGTGGTGCAGACAACGGTCACTCTGGGATCAGGAATGGAACAGTATTGTCTTTAGTGATGAGTCTCGATTTTGTTTAGGCATGCACGATGGTCGTGCCAGTGTTAGAAGGCGACGTGGTGAAAGGAGGAATCCATGGTTTTTTGTTGAAAGACATGTTCATCTCACTGTTGGAGTTATGATTTGGGGTGCTATAGCTTATGGTTCCAGGTCACCTTTAATCTTCATCAGATGTAACATGAACGCGCAGCGTTATATCCACGAAGTTCTAGAACCCCATCTTTTACCCTATCTTGACACCCTGGCAGATCCAACTTTCCAACAAGATAATGCCCGGCCACATGTTGCAAGAGTCACAATAGACTTCTTTCAACATAATGATGTCACATTGTTACCATGGCCACCAAGATCTCCCGACTTATCCCCAATTGAGCACGTGTGGGATATGATGGGTAGGAGATTGCTCAATTTGCAACGCCCTCCTCAGACTCTAGAAGCACTTCGAGAGGAGTTGGTGGTTGCCTGGAATGAGATACCACAGGAGGACATTGACCACCTGATCAGAAGCATGCCTAGGCGCGTTGGAGGATGCGTAGCATGTCAGGGTGCATCCACACATTATTAAAGTCAAAGGGCTTTAAAGTAGTGCAATCATTTTGAAATTTTTATCATTTACTTATTATGCTTCATTAAGTACTTATACAAAATTTTATTAAAATAAAACCATTTAAACTGGGTGTTCGGATTTGTATGTCACTTAGTATAAAAATGAGTTAATTGTAAATTATTTCGCTAAACGAAACGAACAGCAACGATGGTTCTACAGATTGATCTGATCTTTGGGGTATTTCTCAAATGAGCTATTTAAAAATGTTGCAATTGCTTAGTAAGGGATGGAGTGTTCTTATCAGTCGATCTTGAAACATGTATTTGGTTCCAAATACACCACAACATATCTGCCATTTTCATACCTGATCTTTCCAAACTGATTTTTAAATGACCTCGAAGTTGAGGAATCCTTACACTAGATAATGAAACTAGTAACTGCAATTTGCAATACCCACAGTCCGTTTAAATATTCATCCTCAAACACGTCGTTTGTATAGCTAGGTATGAATAAATCTAGCTACATAAGTCATATCCCTTCAAACTGATGCTCTGGTGATATCAGCTGCATTAGTCACAAATACTGTTATCACCATGAAAAAGAACCAAGCAAGAAATTCGCAAACGGCGCGACCTGACTGAATTAATGGAACGACGTTGGGAGGAGAGGAATTCCACGCATCACGGTCTTGCAATAAGACGACATTTTTCTATATTTTGTCATACTGATAATAGATAATTTGTGCTCAGTTTAGCATGCAATATACAAGCTCTATCGGTTGCCTAATAGAGCTCCCTCTGTGAAACACATTTTCTTGTACATTACAAGCCAAGACATGGAATTCTATCTTTGAGATTTCCTGGGCAAAGGCAACAGGTTGACAGGATGTGTTGAACATGAAGATATAGCTGCTTAGTCGATACAGCGTAAAATAATGACACAAATAACCATTAACGGGAATTTCAAGTTTTTGACTGTGAGCTTGACATTACCAACTTTCCGTTAAAAATTATGAATGAAGTGTCTGTTACCAACGATATTTTGGACACTGTATATGTGCAGCTTACCAATTGAAACCCATGCGATAGGAATCGTCATTTACACTTTCAAGTGTGCAGTAAATCAGAGTCTCAGTTCAAGGTAGGTTGGTACGCATATTCTGCTGTTACATATTTGGAGTACTTTTTTGGACCGTTGAAAGGTCCAGTAGCGTAGATCTGCTGGAGATTCTTTTACCACTCAAGCAAACCTATTTGGAAACTTTTCAGATATAAGCGACAATATCTAGTATCCTTACAATTTTCTAAATGGTATATGGGGCGTCCGAAGATAAGGTCAATATCTTTTATGCATATAAAACATGAACAGTAACGTCTCTAACCCTACCGCGTTGTTATTGGACAACTTTACACCTTGTATAACCATAATGTAACACTTGAAACTTATCCTGTGGTTTCCGCGCTAATAATCCTCCATGACTCTCTGGGCGCTAAAAGAAACTTTCTTGTAGCAAATTTGGTTCAAGGACACATGGAGAGACGTCTGAAAATCCCCGCTTACCCCGTCAACTGTACTTCATGGTATCACGTATACTTGGTAAGCCTGAGGAGGATATGAGTTTGTAAACTGCAGAGCTGGTCTTACAGAAACGCAGGGCATCTTCATTGTGTCATAAAACAACACACAGGATGACCAGTATACAGGGTGCTTCAGTTTATTGTTGCATAACTTTAAGATTCGATAGAACCTTTATAATTAATGCATAAAGTCTATATAAACATGAGTCGAAAAATGCGTGGCTTCCGAAATACAGTGCGTTTAAATTTACTTTCTAAAATAGTTTTTTTTTTAAATATTTCGAACAATATTTGATGTATAACAGTGAAAATTGGTGTACAAGGGTTTTCTGGTATTGGCATAGTTTTACTGCAGCCGCTAGAGGGCGCTCTCTACTCTACCTGTAGTGTATTAAAATGACCAATAAAAATTTCTTAGTGCAACGTTTTGCTTTTTGAATAAAAAAACTGATTCTTCGCACTTTTCAACATAAAAAAGCTCTCTTGTGAATTTTCGTTATAAATAGCTGTTTTTGAGATATTTCGATTTTTAAGGTTCGATGCATTTTTAATTATTTATGATAAAATAACGTTAAAATGTCAATATCGAGATAACTTTTAGAAGTAGGCTGTGCCTGCAAATATTTTTGAAATTGAAAGCAGAATAACGTTAAACGTCAATTAGTTGGCAGTTAGTTTTGTTGTCTGTTGAAACCTGAAACGTTTTTTTGCAATTGTGAATGCACGAAATTTAGTTTCTTTTACCTGTTTTTTTTGCAAGTTTTTCAAAAATGCCATTTTTATTCCCCAATCAAGAGTTAGCGGATATTCATTTTGTGTATGGCTTTGTAAATGGAAACGCAGCAGAAGCAGCCAGAGAATACGCACGAAGATTTCCAAACAGACGACATCCAACTCGCTCAGTATTTGTAAGAGTGCATCGCCAAATAATTGAAAATGGTTTTGCAAATCTCCAAAGGGATCAAAACATAAATGTTCGTCAGCGCAGATTTACCCGTATGATTCTGCGTGAGTTTGATAGAGATCCGACCACAAGTGTTAGGAGAGTTTCTGGTGCCTTGGGAATTTCAGCAAGCCATGTTCACCGTGTTCTTAGAAATGACCATAGACGTCCTTACCATTTGCAACCTGTGCAAGGACTACAGCCACGGGACGGAGAACGAGGAATCACATTTTGTCAGTGGATTCTTGATAGAACTGATAATAATAGGGAGTTTTTAAGTTACGTTTTATGGACCGGGAGTGGTAAATTTTCAATCAACATATTTGGTCGCATGAAAATCCGCATGCAGTTCGGGAAAGAAATTTTCAGCATGAATTTAGTGTGAACGTGTGGATTGGTATCTACAGTAATCGACTATTTGGACCCTACCTTTTGCCTGCAAGATTAAATTCTGCGACCTTCTTGGAATTTTTAAAGGCTGAACATGCAAATATGTGGGATGATGTTATGTTAAATTTAAGAAGATTGGCCTGGTTCCAGCTTGATGGTTGTCCAGCTCATTATTGGACAATAGTTAGAAACTGGCTGGACGACAATTATCCAGAAAGATGAATCGTCCGTGGAGGACCGGTCGCCTGGCCTCCACGATCCCCTGACCTAAATCCATTAGATTTCTTTGTGTGGGGATTTCTAAAAGAAAAAGTGTACCAGACTCCCGTAACCACAAGAGATATGCTAATAGACAGAATCAGGAATGCATGTGATGAAATAAGGCCTTATTTGAATAATGCTATACCACGTTCGATCATTTGTAGATGTGAATTGTGTATTGAACAATTGGGTTTACATTTCGAGCAACTACTTTACATTTTGTATGTTTTTCCTAACTATCCAATAGCATTTTAGTTGTAAATAATTAATTTAATTTGTTAAAAATAATATTGGAAGATTAAACAAATTAATATTCTGT